AGAAGGCTGAGCTGTTTTTTGTGATAAGAAAGAAAAATTATTAAAGAAAGCTCTCCTCATATTTCTTTCCTGAACTGCCATCCATTTCCAGTAGTGGATTGGCTCCTGTCTCTTTGGTAAGGTACAGATTTGTTTTCAGCACCTCTGGTCTTTCTCCTCCACTTTCCCTGCCACTCTGTCTCTCCAGCTGGGTGTGGGGTGACACTGGTGTCCCTGGAAGGCGGTCATTAATTGGCTGGTGTATAGCCTGAGCAAAGCTGTATAGGCTTCTCCCAGGCAGCAATAACTTGGTCCAGGCCAAGGCCAGGCTTGCTCCAGTCCTGACTGGCTGAATCCCCTCAGAGGACCAGGCTGGCAAGAGCCCTCCTTTCAGCATGAGTGTGAGCAAAGAGCTTTGGCACTAGTATGAACTCTTCCTTTGTGATTTGTGTAATTTATTTCACTCTTTCTGTGAGCTAAAAGGATTTTTTATGCTTTTCCCCTTTCTCCGCCAAGTTCTTCTCTGCTTCTGGTGGAGCGTCCGAGTTTAACATGCAGCTCATAGTGGCTGCACTGCTGTGACATGACTCTTGCAAGCGTCTTCACTCAAGAGAGCCATCAAATTTGGAGAGCTAGTCAGGCTTGAGGAACGTCATCTGAAACCCAAAGTAGTTTGTCCATCGAAGGGGGGGGTGAACCCATGATGTTTGTGATGACATGTCCCCTGTCCTCTGGGTCGCTGTGAGTGCACAGTGTGGAGAAAAACCCAAATACCCCTGGTTTAGGTGTGTGGCGATGAGACTGCCCTCCCATGTGTTTCCAAGGAGAAGAGAGGAGCCAGGCAGGAGCTGAAGGGTGATGTAGCTCTGTCTGATGCAGCTGGCTGTTTGAAATAAATATGCAGAGAGTCATTTGGAAGAGGTGAGCTGTGTTGAAGGGAGAGTTTGGACTTCATGAAAAACATTAAAAATTCAAAGCAGAGTTGTTGGCAGGTGATGGCCGTTGAAGTAGAACAGAAGAATGAGCAGAAGCCTGGCAGAGGAGTCTAGGGTAGTGGGATGATGATAATTATTTCTTGATTTCTTGAAGGAAGTTAACAAGGCACAGGAGAGGGTGAATGTAAGAGGTGGGGTTTGAGAGACGTGTCACAGCTCTGTGGGCATGGGATGTCAGGTGTCAAGGAGAAAACACTCTGGATGAGCCTGTGGAGGACCAGAAGGGGTTGCAGAGCAGGGTCCATCTCCATTCATACCGTTAGACTTTACCATTGTGCTGTGTAGCCGTGTTTGCAAGGTGGGCCTTGGTTTGGTGGGGGGCACTATGAATTAAGTTTGTCATTTTAAATGTTAAATGCGTTGATATTCCCTGGGAATGAGCATGTATGTTGCCCCATCAGGAGGATCTCTAGGGATGCAGGGGCAGCTGTGTGCATAGGCCATATATCTGTGATACCACACCGTTCACCAGGAGCACAAGGGTCGAAGAAACTCAAGAAAAATATTTAGTAAGGGACTTGTAGGCCTGTGAGGAATTCTGGAGCGTCTAAAGTTTGGGACTTTATGCAATTCCTGCAATGAGTGCAGGGCTCTGGCTGTCTGCTTCCTGTCCCCACAAACCAGTGCTCCGTAATTTATTCCTGAGCTGTTAGCGGCATATTGGGAACATGGAGATAAGATGTGCTGCTCTGTCCACCCTGAAAGAAGTATAACAAGCAACTATTTCAGGCTGGGATTTTCCAAGGGTGACCCCAAGGTGTTTTCAGCCAGAATACCCTTTTCATAACTTTCTAGTTCTGAAATTATTTCAGTTTTTAATGGGGAAAAAACCTTAAAACAGAAAAGTGAAACTTCCGTAAAATGAAAGTTTGACTTCTGGGTTTGCAGGAGGAAATAAGAGTTGTTTCTCCATCTGGGTACTCTCTCTGGGGTGTTTAGGGCAGGCCAGCCTGGCTTCTGTCTTCTTTCAGTCCCCCAGATGTTAGGAGTTGGTGGAGCAGCCCAAATTGCAGGCACTTCAGCCTGGCAGCATTCCTGCTAGCACTTGCTGTGCTAGGATTGCTCCCCAGTCCTGCTGCAAGGTTTCAAAGCATCAAACTTTAAATTACTTTAGCCAGAGAGTTTCAACACACTGCAAATATAGGCAGTGCAGTTATTACTCTTTTTTTACCTTTTTTTTAACAATTTAAAACAAACCAAACCAAACTTCCATTGGTTTCCTGAAAATGTTTTGGGTGTTGTTTCTGGTTTGGGTTTTTTTGTGTGTTTTTTTTGGTTTTTTTTTCTTGTTTTTTTTCTTTTTTTGTTGGCAATTGGGTGACCTATGAAATACCAAAAGCGGCACAAAACGTTTATCCAGTGACAGCCTGAGGTAGCACAGGCAGCTCTTAGCAGGTTTATTTTCATTATTACAGCAATTTTAGGGCTGCACGCTGCAATTTTCACTTGCAGTGAGGTATTAAATTGAAATTACCCCAGATGTAATTGTCACACAAAATAATTCTGGACATGCTGGATTTAATGCTTTTCCAAGCTGTGGTTTTTATTACCCAAGTAAGTGCCAAAAAAACACTTGTAGTCAACAACTTAAACTGAAATCTGCCTTCTGGGGAGCCAGGATATTTCACTGCAGTTACACTGGGGGAGGAAGGAAAAAAAAAAGGACCAACTGGAGGAAACTTTGGGAGGGCTCCTGAAAGAATTGCCCAGGGGTAAAATATTGGGCAAGGGCAGAGTCAGGGCCACAAAGGAACCACGGAGGAGGGGCGCTGGCAGATGCAGCAGCTCAGCCTAACACTTTTTGGGCTGGTTTCTGGAGAGGCAAGTCCCAGCTGTGGTGTAGTACTGGTCACAGAGACAAAGCGAGGCAGGGGGTGCTGCCAGATCCCTGCCTGCTCCGCAGCAGCAGTGCAGTCATTGGTCCCTTCTTTGGGATGTAATGAGTCTCGTTAAACAGAAGCCAGGGATGGGTTGCAGCACCAGTGACCAAGCTCTGGAGGTGCTCATATGAGACATTTCAGCCTTTCCCAGATGCACGTTGTCTAGTGAGGCCAATCTGGTGCACAGACATCTGGAGTTGTAAAAGCAAGTTGTTGCACACGAGGAGTCTTCATCGGGCTGCTGGAGCGCTCAGCCAGGGTTGCAATATTCCCAGCACTCCCACTGGTGGGTGGTACAGCACGCACACGCTGCTGCTTTATTTATTAGCTCCTTAGCTGTTGTAATAACATAAGTGAAGTATTGATGACTTTATGTTTTCCACCCTCTTTCATTCTTTTCCAGAAATAGCTTCCCTTGTTTGCTCCACAGAACCCTGCTGGAAGTGGGTGGAAGGACACGCATCTGGGAACGGTGTATAAATAGGACAGGGAGAGGCAGTTGCCACAGTCTGTCCCTGGAGCTCCACAAAGCAAGCGAGAGCTGAGCCTGAGCATGGCAAAACAGGAGCTGAACAGCCACTTCTTTCTCATCACATCAGTTTGGGAAGGCTCAGCTGGAGTTGGTTACTGGATAATGCACGGGGCTGCAGTGACCCAGGGGAGCAGCTCAGGGCATGACCCAGTGCTGTTTCATAATTCAGAAACCCTCTGTTTTCAGCATCCCTGAGATGTAATTTTGATGAATGAGGGTGTTGTCACACAGGGCAATGTTACTGAACTTTCTCCTGCATATGGAATAGCTGTGCAACTTTGGCATCCTTTGGGGATGTACCTAGAATTAGAATTGGCTTGATTGTGAGTTTCTGGCTAAAACAATGAGAAAACTGCTTTTGGTCAGGTTGAAGCAGGATTTGGAAAAGGTTTTGAGTGAAACAGAGAAAGCAGTGAGTGATTTAGTGTGATCTTGGAAATATTTTGTCCCACTCAAGAAACCATTTTTTTCTTATCTTTGGAATTGTTTCACCTGTTGCACACTCTTTTTTCCTTTAATTTAGTTCACTTTGTAGATAATTGGAAATGCAATTTAAAATTAAAAGATGGAAAATTTTGTCAAAAATAATATCTCAAGCATTTTGGCTCTTCACACGTGCAACATACCATGTTCAATAGCATAAACCAGCAATATCTGGCTACTTTTGCCTGCTTTCTCCTCTCCATCCCCAGCTTAGTTTTCCCATCTGTTTTTACTTCACCTTGCAGATACTATGCTCCAGAACTTGGTGAGAGCAAACTAATGGCGGTTGCTCAGTCCTTTTATCTGCTTGATATGAGGATAGTAGTGGTAGCACCTGGGCAGTGACACAGCAGCAGGTGATTGGCATGTGGATGTGAAGGGACATAATGGCTGTGATGGAGAGCTCCTCAGGCTGGGCATGGGTTCCTGCTGCTGTTGTGTCATCACAGGGACTGATAGGGACCTGGAAAGAGCATCATAGATGTAAGAGGTGTATCTGGATTTTCTGAGCAAGGAAGATATTGGTGTCGGTCTGTAAAAGCCACAAATGTAATCAGCTAAAGGTCAAAGTAATTACTGAGTCTGTGACATTTCCTCCTGGGAAGGAGGCAGCAGGAGCTGTGGTCGCAGTTGTGGGTTTGGAAGGTTTCAAATCCCAATCTTCCCTGTAGTTCGGTTATACCATTAAGGCAGAATGAATAAGGAAACAATCAATTTAGAAACAGGACTTGGCTTACCTTGCAACCAGCTGGTGGAAATTGCTGCCTTGGGAGCTTGGGAGTGAGGTGGCTTGGAGCTGTGGAGTTGCAAGGGTGCTCCTACCTCTGCTGGTGCCACCAGCTGGGTGGGTGTGAAAGTGCTATCTGGGAAACACTGGTTAGAGGAAAGGGCTGCCCACTGGGCATCCCTTCTCATCCCTTCCTATTAATGACAGTTAAGTTCTTTACTGCTTTAATCCTCAGTGACTTACTTGGCATTTTCGGGGTTCAGACAGAAAAGCTCTTATTTATTTATTTGTAATAGTGGCTGGAGGACCATTTACTGATGGACTCTGCTGCCTATGTAAATTAAGTAAGCTCCCACTTTGAATTCCAGTACCTGAATGACCTTTTCTTCTCTCTCCTTCCCCAGGTGTACGACTTTGCACTATGGCCAGGACCTCCCACCAACAAGTGTCATCATCACCTTCCACAACGAGGCCAGGTCAACCCTGCTAAGGACAATTCGGAGGTAAGAGCTCTGGTGATCTCTTAAAAAATGGTGAGTGAGCTAGAGGTTTTCACGAATAAAGGCAGAATCTGTTTGCACTCACCATAGCAATGGGACCAGCTGCGGTCTCAAATGATGTCCGGGAGAAATTAGAGTGAAAGTTGGTCTTAGAGAAGTAGCTTTTACAGTGGGATGCTCAGGACAGTAAGGAGCTGTGCTCCCTTTGCAGGGTCTAGCAGGGAAACACTTGAGGGAGCATTAGCAGATTAGACAGAGTCTGGGATAAGAGCTTTTGTATCCAGCTGGGTATCAGAGCTCAGCTGTATTTTCTCCCAGTCCTCTAGGGACAGCTATCATTCTACAGATATTTTCTCTGGTAGTGCTGTTTGAGCTTCTCCAGTGACCCATCGAGTGCCAGAAAGGCTTGTTAATTGAGAAGCCCTAATGGCACACACACAGACTAGATTTTCAAAGACGGTTTCTGTGCTCCTCGGGTATACGGTGGAGCGCTCTGGGCATGTGGCCATTCCTTCATTTGTCGGTTTGTTCTTGGCTGTGTTTTGCTGTAGTGAATAGACTAAAGGCTTCATTTTCACTGCAGGTTTTTCAAATCAGTGTTTAATCTCAATATGTGCCTTGAATCTGCAAGTTCTCTTGTGGGAAGAACTGGTGAGGTGTGCCCCACCAGACAGGGGTCTGTCTCCAAGTCTTGGCTGGTGGGTTCCTCTGTAGCAAGCTTGGATGCACTCTGATCTGTGCCAATAGTAAATGTATTGCAGGTACATCTCGTGCCCACATTGTAAAGATTTGTGCCCTGCTGCAAGTCTTGTCTTTTAAACCCTGGCATCCCCAGGGACCCCTTGCTATCATTGGTACTGGTCAGACTGGGGTTGCTGGTTACAGGGAGGCTTCAGTCATTCCCTGTTCACTGTCACATCCTTGCTGAACTTTTCTCTGAAAACAGCATCCTTCCTCAGGTGAGCACACCCAGGGCCACAAATGAGTTTGACAGTCCTGAAATTGAATTCCTTCTTTGCTTTATGGTTTCGTGCCCAATCCCATCTCCTTCTTTCACACTTAATAATCTGTCACTGCTTTCTCTCTCTAGGATGTGTGGATTTTGGGTGATACTGACACTTGGTGCTCTGTGCCATCTCCTTGATCTTGAACCTTCTCTTTTGTCTTTACAGTGCCTTGCATAAATTTGCCATTCTCCAAAACCAATTGTAAGAGAGATGGCAGGTGCAGTCCTCTGGCCCCCACTGAGATATAGGAAGCTTTAAGTGCAGGGATGGACTTTGATCTCATTTCTCCTCTTAACTCAGCACTTGACTGTCCTGCCAGGTACGATCATGAGTAATGTTGTCACATGAAAAATGTTAGATGCATGATAAAGCTCTTATACCTGGATCCCCCATATCTGGCTTCCTTAGAGAACTGTTCATTGCAGTGATGGCAAGGTTGGAAATACAGATAGATTGAATTTTTCCTTCTTCTAGGTTATTGTTTTCTGAAGTTTCTGATTTCCAGCTATAAAATTACTTTCTTCCTTGTTCCTCTTATTTTTTTTACTTGATTAGTTGGCTTTACTGCCTTCCTTACCTGGCTGCGTGTGATTTCCACGACAGTTTTGCCCATGTGCACTGCTCCTTCTTGCTTATGTGCCCTGGCAATTCCAGCACTCCTATTTGTCTGGAGAGTTTTTCCCCAATTCTGGGGCCCCCTCTGAGCCCTATTTCTCTAAGGTTGATCTCCAAACAATGCCAGAGCTCCACGGAGCATTCCACTGAGCTGCACCACAGAGGCAAGCCCAGGCAGTGAGGAACTGAGATGACAGCCTTGAGTCCCACATCTTCTCTGCCTTCCTCTGGGCTGAGATCCTGAGCTGACCCTCCTTTTTCTGGTCCCCATGGCTTGGAGGTGGCCTCTTGGCATCAGGGTTTACTGTTTTCCTCCTGAATGCAGTGCACAGGGACTTGCTTTGATCCAACCAATGCTAGGGATACCAACCCTTGGTGGCAAGTTGTGCTAGTGACATGGCTCCTGTTCTGCTCCTCTCTGGTGGTGATTGGGCACATATTGCCACCTCTCTGCCTCTTTTTGGACCCAGCTGAGAGCTCATCTGCCTCTTTAGCCTCTGTAGGTTAATTTGCTGCGCCTTCTGACTGCTTGGGTTTTTTCCCCTCTTGCTCAGCAAATACTTAGCTTAATTAGGTCTTCCAGATAACTCCATCCCACAGTGGCTGTAACAACATGGATCATTTTCCATGGCCATTCAAAACAAACTCTGTCCTCCTGACAGTGCTTTGTGCCTTTTGGGGCAGTCTGTGGCCAAGTGCTTTGAGTTTAGTGGTGAGTAAATTGGCCACTTGTTCTGCCCTATTCTCCCTAGTACATCTCCATGGTGCACTCTTGGGATAACCCAGGTGGACAGACTGAGAAACAGATCTGGCTGTGGCTGGTAGAAGATTTTGAGTTGCAAATCTGGTTTCCTGAGTTCCAGTATACTGGATTTTCCAGCCTTGTTGCAGAAACAATGTTTTCAGTTAATTGCCATAGCAGGAGCAAGAAACGGGGCAAAGGGACATTGCTTGGCTTGTCCAAAGCCGTGATGCCATAGGGCACGATCCCTGCAAAGGGGGCACCTCCTACAGGACTCCATGTAAACACAGAGGAGTGGCAGAGGGAAATGCTGGTAAAGGCACCATCTATCAGCGGGGGAAATGGCCTCTTGCAGAAGAGACTACGTACATGATGAGCAGGAAGGATTTTGCTATTCCTGTGATTTTCCTGGGTGCTTGAGAGCTTTAATGTTTCCTGAGTGTTGAGGCTGAGCTGTGTGGCAGGCTCAGTTTGTTTCATGTGGATCTTGGTAGGAATGTGAGTGCTCTGACCTGTGAAGCAGAGGCAGCAACACGTGGCCTCCACAGCATCCCTTACGCAAGTCACGTTGTGAGTGTTTGGGACGGTTCGTTTATGAACATTTTGCGCTGTCAGAGCTATTGGGAAAAGCTAGTGGACTGTGTTGAATAATGAATTCATTTAAAAGTTTCATGATCTTTGACCATTTGCCAGCTAGAAGTAAAGCAGGGGGGAAAAAAAAGAGGCCAAATTAATTGAATGTCCAAATCTCTGCAAATGGTGTAGTCAGCATTTATAAATGCATGTGGTGCAACTATGCTTGTGAATACGTACAACTGCCCAGGTAGTAGGGGATGGCTGTCATGAGAAAGGCAAATAGAAAAGGAGAGAAGAGGCCAGAAAGGAGGAGATGGTGAATAGCAAAGCAGCTCTTGAGATTTTTTAGTATTTTTTTTAAACTGTGCAGACGGGAGAAAGTACCGTTGGGTTGTTTCAACCGCTCACTTTTCAAATGACCTTGAACAAGTTCCTTATCCCTCTGTGGTTCAGCTTCATGTATTTCACGCTCCAAGATTCAGTGCCTTAAAGATGGTGAGAGTCTCCAACAGTATGGGACCATGTAAGTAAACCCAACATGGAAAGAAAGCAGCAAGGGAGAAATTAAGCAATACAGAGGCATTTATAATTAAAAAAGAAAAATAAACCAAGCAATTTCTTCTTTTCTGTCTTTCCATCCTATGCTAGCCTGCATTTAGCAAGGGAATCTTAATCCTGTTGTGTGGGTGACCTGCCGGGCAGAGAGTGAGACAGTCCCGTTTACTCTGCTGAGTGGTTTTTATTTATTTATTCTTCAAACTTGCAGCTGGGGAGCTCAGAGCAGGAATAAGGAAACTTTAATTATTTACCTCTTGCTGACAAGCCAAAATACATCCTTTGGCAAAAGTCCCGATGCGAGTGCTGTGAATACCACATCAAATATTTAGGTCATTAATTAGCAGAGAGAATATCATGCCTTTTATTTTCCAGTGCTTATAAGTAAGATGAGTGATGTCCTGGACAGCCAGCACTTCACACCTTCCTCTCATGCCACTAACTTGTCTGCATCCAGACACATCTGAGACAGGGAGGTGACAAAGCCACGCACCTCCTTGCTTTGGCAGCGTCGGCACCATATAGAGTCTGTGCCATAACTGAAATAAGCCTGATTAGAGAAGCAAAAACAAGCCAGGTGTTGCACAGACACTGTATAATTAGCACTTTGTGCTGACTATTTTTTCATTTTTTTTCCCCTGCTTTTTCCTTAAACCCTGGGCTTTTTTTTTTTTCTTAATTTGCTAATCATCTCTTGTGGTGACTGAGTACACAGCCCTCCATGCGCTTTTACCTTTTGATGTTAACATAAGAGAACCCTTGAATTTCAAAGAGCTTGGTGGGTATTTGAAAGAATAAAATGCAAAAGCCGCAGTGTAATCAAAGCTCATTATGGTTATTCTTGGTGTGATGTCTCTCTTCCCACATAATTAGCCATTTGGGGTTGTTGAAGCAGCTCATTTTGGCGGGCATTTTCTCTCCGCACTCGTGGTCTGATTTTGATAATTGTGACCCTTAACCCTTTGTACACTTTATTATACTCCCAAAGGTGTTTTTTTTTTTCCCCAACAAGTCCCAATATGTTGCCATGGAGAGAATTAATGGGTTCATGAGTTCCCAAGGATCAATGTCCACAGTCATCTCTCTAAAGCCAGTGGTATTCTGGGTGATGACTGAAAATATACTGACTTTCGGTCAGAAGGTCTAAACTCCTCCACGCGAACATTTTCCATGTCTTTTATGTCAGGGTGACACTTGCACTGGTATTTATTTGGAGATGAAGTTGCTAGATCCAATATTTACCTCCAGGTAGGTGGAAAGGGATCCCAAATTGTTGAGGAGTATGGAAGAAGGACCTTAACGATGAAAATTTAGGGTGAAATTCTCCATGGCTACATCTGCATAAGATCTGCTAAATCCATTGAAACAAAGAAAATTTCAGCATTGACTTTACAAGATAATTCAGCACTGAATCTGGTCTTAATGGACTGAGTAAATGTAAGAACTTTCTGGACTAGAGGCATGAGTTTTCATTTCAATGGTAACAGGACTTGTGGCAATTTAAGGGAGAAAATGTTGTGATCTCTGTCTCAACAGAATATAAAAGCTGTTTCATTTGTTAAAATGTGCCCATCAATGCAGTATATACCTACCTATGTTTGATTTCAGGGAAAGAAATCTATAAATAGCAGAGGAACTTCAAAGCACTACAATATTGTCTTCTGATTTTACCCATATAAAAGGGGAAAAAAAGCCGTGCACAGACATAAAGAAAAGAAAGTATTAAAAAAAATCAAAGCTAAGCAGAGGCAAAAGTGATAGAAAAACCAGCTTTGAATTTTTAGAAGTGGTTTTGTAGTCTGTCTGAAAAAAAAATCCCCGTAACGTTGAAAATGTGCAGGATTTGGTGCCTCTGTTTCCCATCCTCCCCAAGGAGTGCTGCAGGAGGGTGTTTATAGTCTTCTGTGTTTCCAACATCGTGTTTATTATCATGTGATTAATAGAGCACAGGCAGAAAATGTGTTGGAGATGTGGATGTGGCTCTGCTGGGAAGCCAGCATGCTTGCTCTTGGCTGAGTAGGGAAGTGGGCTGTGGTTGTGGTGTTGCAGCCTTTGGATCTCTTTGTGTCTGCATCAAGGGGCCTTTAGCTTAGCAGCATTTTTTGGGCTTGCTGGGGTCTGTGCATAGACTTGTAAGGACAATAATGAGCTCAAAGAGTGCTGAAATCAGTGAACATCAGGTCCCTTAGAGCCAACCTTTGGACCATCCTCACCAGGGTGAGGGTGAGTTGTTCACTGGAGTTTTGGAAGTGTCATGTGGTAAGGGAGGCCCACAAGAGATTTGGTGGGAGAGGGCTGTGATGATATAGGATGAGGGGATGCTGTGTCACCCACAGTGGTGTCTGTCATTAACCCCATGGAAGGATGAGGGTTTGTGGAGCCAGAGCAGCCCTTGGAGACGTCCTTCCCTTCTAGGTCAGTATGCTGGCTAAATTTTCCCTCCCCCTCTGGCCAACGCTCTGCATCCCAGAGATGGCCATTGCTGGCATTCAGGGGACATGTTCCATGATCTATGGTGTGGCAAGTCCAGGCATACAGTTGGCAGCAAGTTCCTCAACCTGGGAACAGAAGGAGCAGCAGAGCAGAGACGGGGCTATACATCTTCCCGACCCAGGGCCATGGGAATTTTCATGCTGGATTTTCTTCCGTAAGAGCTGCCTTGGAGGGAATTCCTCCAAAGGCAGTGAGTACCACTTAGAGCCCAGGTCTGAGTCTACACAGCCAAGTGCCACGGTTTTGGTTGAGTTGTTCTGGCTGGTACCAGGAAAAGCAAGAATCGGTCCCTTCGTGTCCGCCTTCCCATAGAGTTAAGCCCTGCACTGCACTTCTGGCAGCTGAATCTGCAGGGGAGACTAGGCGGAGGTGGGATTTGAATGTTCAAGTTGCCCGCTGCCTCCTCCCCTCCCGCTCTCCATGGGTTATTTATTTATTTTGCTAGCTTTTTTACAAGCCTGCTTCTTTCCTGCAGGTTTCACTGAGTTAGGTTTCCAGGCAATCAGCGCTTGTTAAATATTCCACTGAGCGTGATATTGCTCTCCTGTCTCTCTCTACTGACGCTCGGCTGCGGTAATTTGCTGAACTCAGCTCTCGCGTGTGGGGATTTTTAAAAAATAACAAACCTATTAATAATAATAATTAAAAAACACTTGACAGGTGGAAACAGCACATCTAAATTGTTCTGTGTGCCCCAGCGGGAGGAGGGGCGCTCAGGCACTTTTTCCTAGTAACAGGCTCCAGATGTTGGTGAGGCGATGTTGTCTAACTCTGCTTGGTACAAGCCACAGTGTTGTCAGGGTGTCCACAGCTACTGTTGCGTAGGGGACGGCATCTTTTATTCCTCCCCACTCCGACATTAACATGCAAGGCATCTGAAGTGGGGGAAGATAATGGTTTTTGCTAAGATCCTGAAACTGGAAGAGTTTGTGTTTCCAGGGAAAGTCATTCTTGGAAGTGATTTTTGAGGACCTCCACAAGGGAGGTGCCGGGCTTACCCACTCCAGTCTGATATGAAACCCCCTTTTTTCAGGATTTCTGCTGGGGGAAAAAAACCCCAAAACCAACATGCAGGGAGCATCCATTATATATGGAAGAAATTCTTTACTGTGAGGGTGGTGAGGCACAGAGAATTGGTAGATGCCCATTAACTGGACATGTTCAAGACCAGATTGGATGGGGCATCAAGTACTCTGGTCTAGTGGAAGGCATCCCTTCCCATGACAGTGGGGTTGTAACTACATGATCTCTAAGGTCCTTTCCAAACCAAATCATTCTGCAATTCTGTGATTCTGTTTCAGGCATCTGCCTTGGGATATCCTGTACGCCTTCCAAAAAAATCCAGCTCAGTTCTCTGGAGGGTTGTACTTCCAGCACCTGGAGTGGGGGGTGGGGGGTGTACACCAGTGCAGGCAGCAGACTCCCTGGGTGGAGTGGTCTTGTGAGTTCTCATCAAGAAGGTTTCATCAGAGAAATGCAGCCCTTTGGTGAATGTCCTCGGATATCCAGGGGTGAGGCTGTGAGACCCCTTTGCATTTCTGCCAATGTGGCTCCCAAGCACTCATGTCCCCTGGGGTTCCTGTCTTTGTAGACCTCGTGACTGGGGTCTGGGACAGGGATGTGGTTTTTCCAGACTTCTGGGCTTTTTTTTTTTTTGCTGGAGTTTTGGGAGCCTGAGAGACTGGGAAAACCTGTTAATGAGGATCTGCAGGGATCAGGGGCTTTAAGGTTGTTAGCTAGTCAGGTGACTGCCCTCTAATGCCAGTGGGAATTTTGCAGGTCTAAAATTTGGGGGGATTTTAAATCCTGTGTGAAAAAGGAACCACACTCAGGATGAAGACAAAGAAGTTTAAATGCTGGAAAAGCCTGTACAACCTAACTGGCATTATCAAAGCCCAAGCCAAGCACTTAGGAGACTTTTGGGATGTCCTGGGGTTTCTGCTTCAAGAAGTCAGTCTTGACCCTTTGCTGGGGCAGGATTTTAAGCTTGTATAATTCTGCCAAACTCTGCGCTGTGAGAGAAAGCGAAAGAACAGGTCTAGGCTTTTTAATAATAATAATAATACTAAAAAAACCCTTGGTGGCATAATTAAGGGAAGATTGTAGCTTTCAGCCATGTTTCACAGTGTCTGTCCACATGGAGGGAGCTGTGAACCACATCCTCCAGCCTCTCTCTTTCATTAACTAGATGCGCTCCAACCCTGCTCTTATCCTCTCGGCAGCCTCTGAAACACAATCAGCTCATGGATAAAAACAGGAGTTGTCCTGCTGCAGCTGTGAGCTGTGTAAAGATGGGTTTGAGCTGGGTAATTTTCTCTGTGTTGGCCCTGCTGTTGCTGGACACCGTATCATTAGCCCCAGAGGAGGTGTTGGGGTGACAGCAGCTTTGCTGTAAGCCCAGTTAGGAATCCCAGTGCAATGTGCATGTTGCTAAAAAGCCAGTTTTTCCTGGCTTTACGTGGTGCTCTGCTTTTGCTCACAAGGGTGATAAGGGTGAATCTCAGGTATTTCCCAGGAATACCGAGCACTTGGCTCTTAGGTCAGGCTACAGGGAGTTGATAGCCAGGCATTGTAGATTACTAGGGGGGAGGTGGTGGGGAGTGGTTTTTGGGTCTTATCTAGTATATCCTTTCTGGAAATCCAAGCCTGGTCTTCTGTGCTTTGGCAGAGATCAGTTCCTAGGTTTTTCTACTCCGTTTGCTGGGTTGTTAATTTGGTCAAGCACTGTCATGGATTTTCTCTCTTCATTCTTTAGCGTGCTGAACCGCACCCCAGTGCACCTCGTCCATGAAATCATACTAGTGGATGACTACAGTGATGATCGTAAGTGACCCTTTCTGTGTTAAAAGCAAGAGGCCAAACTGAAAGAGCCTGTGAGAGACTGGGACGCACGCAGAGATGGGAGAGAGTTTGCTGAAGTGGAAGGAAATTCAAAGCTGTGTAGCTGTGGAGAGCAAACCCTGCTGTGCTGGGTTTGCATTGCCACGTAGAATTCAAGTTCCAAATGATCAAGTCTCTTTTCATGAAAATAATACAAGAAAAGCACATGGCAAATCGTTTTTATGCCCAGTAGACATGAATCCAGTCCTTACACGGTTGTATCCTACCACAGCTGTGGTGTGTCTGATCTGGCTTTCAGCTGCAGCCAGGAGCAATTCTGGGTTGATACCACTGGAATTGCAGGGAATAATGACAGTCTGACCCTTTGGACCTATGTATATGTTCTGCATACATTTATGTAGGTGGTCAGCAACTCTTGATTTTTTTTCACCCATGTAATGAGGATTCCCTGTGTGGGTTTCCCATTTCTGAGATGCACCATAAATAGCATTGTGCACCACACATCCTGCCCACATCCTCCTGCTGTTCTCTCAGTTAATAGCATGACTCAAGTTAAATCGATAGGTCTGATCTCCAGTAGAAGGTAGCTGAAGCCCCAGGGACTCCCAGGGAACCACCCCAGCTAAAGACCTTACCCAGCGCGATGTGCGAGTTGAAGATCCAGGTGCTGAGAGTAAGTGCTCAAAAATACTGTCTCAGGCATAAAAAGGATGATAAACTATCTGAGTGGTCTGTGACACTTACATTTGAAGGAGCTGCAAAATTTAACCATTTACTAGGAAACCTGAAAACAAAACCAGACAGGTTTTTGAAAACATGAATCTAGGCTTTGCTCTTGGATGTTATAAATAGGCACTGCCTCAGAGAGCATTAGGGACAGATTTCACACAAGACCCACTTCCTGTCATTGACACCTCCCTGGGAAGTTGCTGAAGCTGGGGGAAGGAGTTGCCGTGATTACGGTGAGCTTTGGAGTAGCTCCAGCACTCGGGACGGGCAGACTAGACAAGTTTGGGAACCAGCTGTGATGGGGAAAAGGAGCAGGTGCAAGGACTAGAGCTGCCCTGGAGTGTAGCAGAGCAGGATTTTTGAAGGATGGAGGAAGTAAATGCCAGGTATTTGGCTAAATAAACAAAGTACTTGCCTTCCTGAAAGGAAACAGGTTTGTAGAAATGAAGCTCCCTTGTCACAGCATGCCAAGTACCATGAGCCACGGAGAACCAGCAAGACTGGGTTTAAACTCATCCCAGGGCACCAGAGGGGAGCATGTTTCCTGCGTAACTCAGAGCAGCCCCTCAGCTACTCAGCACTTCTCACATCTTTGACATCTTCTTTCCTGTGATAGTCTGAGCCTGCTGGCATCTGCTCTGCATGCATTTACATAAAATGCATGTATTTGCATAATACACTATACACACATGGTCAGTTTTTTTCCTGCAACCCACCCCAAACAATTAGTGCTTTTATCTCATGCCCAGTTATGTCTCATTTCTCACCTCTCTCTGCCCGCTGGCCTTGTTATTCACTGGGATGCAGCTTTTCTCCATGTGAATTCTCAGCAGAATTCCGTTGTAGGTCCGTAGCCAAGCCCTGCCACTTTTACTCCCCTGTCCCAGCTCTGTTCCCTAATTGTTCAGGGTATGGGTACAGTGATGTCTCTTTACCAGCAAAGATTGCTGGAGGAGATGAAAGTGCTCAGAGGTGTGTGCAGGTGCAGGGGCTGGGCAGAGGGCATGGGGCACGTGTGTGTGTGTTTATAGCACCAAGGAAAAGGAGGCAGAGCTGTGAGAGGCATGAAGGGGTTGTGGAGGTCACAGCATGAGAGTGCAGAGATAGAGGGGGCTGTGATGGGTGCACCTGCCTGCAGACACAGCTCTGGCCCTGCTCTGACATCCTCCACTTTGCTGGGAGAAATCCAGGTGAAGATGGATGCTGGTGCTGCAGGCGGTGACTGCGTGTGGGATTGCAGGACCTCCCTAGCTCAGGTGTAGGTGGCTGTCAGGCCTTTCTGCCCCATAGAGCTGCTGCCCCATAGAGCTGCTCCACAGGGCTCTCTTTGACCATCCCTTCCTCCTCGCTGAAGCCTCCAGGCCACCACAGGAAGCTCCTGCCCTGCCAACCAGATGCACATCAAAGAGCTTGTGCGTTGCTTTGCAGCTACCAAAAATAGTAATTTGCATTACTGTGCAAAAAGTCAGATTCTGACCCCAACCACAACTCTTCTGTGCTGATTTTAGAGCATAACTCAGCTGCTTTCAGTGTCAGTCTGCTGAATTTACACTAGTTTCATGAAAACTGCTGCTCTGCCAGTCGGGATTTGTGCTGCATGAGCTGAGTGTTGTGACCCAGCACTGCTATCACCCTAACAAGCCATCAACCAGTCCAGGACAGGGTACTCCCTGCTCACAGTCTCCCCTAGGACTCCCTGTTTCTGCTACCAGAGCCACCATGAGGGCTGAGGGTGACATGTTGTCCCTTTTGTGTTTCCCAAGCTGATGACTGCCGCTTGTTGGGACAGCTCCCCAAGGTGAAGTGCTTGCGGAATGGACGGCGAGAAGGTAAGAGCTCCCTGCCCACAATCCAGGTGGGATACCCAGATTTCGGGAGGTGTTAGAGCGATGGAGTCAGGGGAGACCTCCATGGAGTGGCCAACAAGGGAGGTCAGCGGCTCCTGGGGACAGGAGGACCATGATGAAAGGGGATGTAATAAAGGGCTGGGATTTTAAATGAATCTCCCCTCTCTTGCTGAAAAAGATGGGACTATTAAGATATCCAGTGAGGCTCAGCTGTAGCTTATTAGCCAGAAAATTAGAACAGGCAAAACAAAGCCCCGGGTCTTATTTGTAAAGATGTTTGCTCTAATAAAAGAGAGGAGATCTGCTCCTGCTGCTTCTGTGGGATTTTTTTTTTTAATAATTAATTATATTTGAAAGATTAAGAAAGGCTATATGGAGGATGAATGTATGTCCTACTGGGCTGCTGCTGGCAACCTTTTGAGACATTTTCCAGCTCCCCATAGCCTGCGTGTGTGCTTTCAAATTCTGCTTTGCAGTATTAGGAGAACAAAACCCTAAGTTTTTTCATGCTACAAATCAAAGGTGTGAGTCCAGGTGGGTGTTGGGTTGAGGAGACTGAAGAGTGGAGATTCATTGTGGTCTCTTTCTGCAGAGGGTTTCAGCTCTGCAGGTCTGGTGACAGGGTGGCATCAAATCTCATGGGTGTAAGAGACATACCTGCTTTGGCAGGAGGGTAAGGGAGGTCTCCATAGACCCTCACCTCCTTCTCATCTTTCTGTCCTGTGTGATGGAGGTACATATGTGCTTATCTCCAGCGTATAGACCCACAGGTATTCGTGCTCTATAAATCAGTCAGATGTGGGAAGCCAACCTTACCTTGCTTAATAGATTGCTTACCCAGGGATTACATTGCTTAATACATCACTTAAGTTGTATCCCTCAGGGCCTGCTGGGATCTGGGGAGGTTTGGGGTTGGTGCAGAACACATAGCTACCCACCAGATCATAGGAGTTGCAGAGAGAGATACAGTGACAACCTGTATTGTAGAAGGTGACCTTGGCAAATGCTGGATTGTTCCAGGCTTTGTTCTCCTGTCCCTCTCCCTCCTGCTCAGAGGCTGTTCCTTGACCCTGTTCCTCTAGGGAATTTTAATATAAAAATTGGTGACCTTCTACATGGACCTGATGTGTGACTGCTCCCTGAAACCCTTCTATCTCTCTTTATCTGTCCCTATGGCCCCTCCTATTGCCACTGTTTCTCCTTCATAAAGAAGCTCTGCTCTCCTTGAGTCACCTGCATCCCTTCTTGTTTGCCAACAAACCATCTCCTTTCTTATGGTGCAGTTCACTTTAGCATCAACTGCATGCAGGAGGAATGTTGAAAAGCTTTTTAACTCCTGCATAAATAGGAACAGAGCATCTTTAAGAGCAATGATTTTGCTGAAGAGTCTAGTGTGAAATCCATGTGTGCAGCTGCTTTTTATGACCTCCCTCTTTTTTTTATTTTTCTCTCTCACAAACGCATGCAGCAATCCACTTCCATCTCCAAAGGATTCTAAATTCACCATCAGGGCCCTGATAAGCCAAGTGGGCTCTTAGCACCTTGAAAACCAACTCTCTTTCCTTGGTAGAAAATGTGTTCCCATTGAGCTGCAGATCAGCAAGTTGCCCCAGGGCAGGAGAGAGATCTGGGGGTCACTGGGACACAGAAAGGGGCTCAGCAGGGGAAAGTTAACAGTCTAAGAAAAGCTTAATTCTGGCACGAGGTGATCCCACCCTCAACTCCCCTGGTGCATTCCCCACTGCCTTACATCTGTGTTAGATTTATTACCTGAAGGGGGTCATGAAAGCATTTGAGTCATGTTTTGCCCCAGAATGCGACAGCAGAATTAATTGTGCTAATTAAGGATTGGCATAAATGGCATAAATCATATAACTTGGTGGAACCATTTATTTGCTTTGGGGACCTTAGGAAATGGTTAGCATACCTTGCAGCATCAGGAAGGAGGCAATGAACCTGGGCCATGTTTTATCTGAATGAGGTTCAGGCAGGTCAAAACCCAGGGAATGCATGAGTGCAAGAGATCATGCTGGAGGAGCCTGGGGGTGTTACCCAGCCATCTGGACAGCAGCTGATGTGGTGTGTCCCTGAATAGGTCTGATCCGGTCCCGAATCCGAGGGGCAGATGTGGCAAAAGCAGGTGTCCTGACCTTTCTGGACAGTCACTGTGAGGTGAATAAGGACTGGCTGCTCCCTCTGCTGCAGAGGATCAAAGAGGTGAGTGCTCCTGAGAGACCAGGATCACCCTCAGGGGATGTGTCAGTGATGTCCACCTCCTCTTCCCTCTCGATGGGCATGACCGTCCAACCATAACCAACTGCATCTAAGGCATCTGAATAAAGAAGTGATGAATTTTTGGGGTACAAAGTGGCCTATTCTGGTCTTCCTCCACCCAGCAACCACATGGGGTGTCTCTGTGACTGGGTGAGCATGTGGGTGGGTGGGACAAGGTGTCTCCCAGAGCACTGAGACTCTTAACTGGCAAGCACAGGTTGAGTGGTGAAAGGGGAACACGTGGGCAGTGCTCCAGCAGAGTTTTTAATTAGGCTCATGTAAAATGCTCAGTGATGATGATTTAAGGGAGTGACGGCTCCTTGAATAGGGGCCGAATTTAATTTCATGCAAATTAAGCTCTAATAAATTGATTTAATAGGATTTAAATTCTGCTGATTTCGGAGCAGACAATGACATTCTCCTTTCGCCGGCGGCGACTCTCTCACCAGACGTGCACACGGAGGCTCCCGGCGCCTTGGCACTCGAGTTGGGGGAGCTCTGTGCTGGTGACCTGCTGACACCAGGGTGCAGGGGATGAAGCCTTCAGGTTCAGCATGGATGCATGATCCTTTCCCTTCTCCGTGCCTTGTTCCTTCACCCTTGTTACACCTCTGGCTTCTCATTGCTAGTGTTAGTTACTCAGTAATTTTAAAATTACTGAACTATGTTGACATAAGGGCATCTGAGGAGCAAGGGAAAGCTGAGGTGGTGGGTCGTGGAGAAACCTGCCTGGCTGGTGTTCACGGTGCCCCTCATCCAAGGCATCCTGCTTTTCACACCTCCATATGTGGTAGCTGTTCTGGCTGGGCCAGAACACCTCTGTGCTGTTCTCACCCTCTGTGCACCAGTGATGGGACAGGGGAAGGGGGGCAGAGCACCAGGTCAGGTCCCTCTGCAGCAGGGGAGAGCTGTCAGTGCTGCTGGCACTCGTAGTGCAGCCAGTGCTGGAGAGGTTCCAACTTTGGTGTGCAGGCTGGGCAACGGTACTGCTGATAAATGTCATTAAAATGGTCTTTTCATATTATCAATCGCAGCTCTGGTGCCATGTGTAGCATCATCATAGGAGTTTCAGTGCCTCCTGGTCTGAATACAGCATCAAATGCACACATCACCTCTGTGGACTTTTTTTATTTGCTCTTCTGGACTGAATCTGGAAGGAAGGCAGTCTATAAGGTCGCACTGCTGCTTGTGCTGCCCTCACCTTGTCCAGTATCTTGGAGCCCCAGGCAGCAAGGGAGACATACTACAAAGAGTGTTGAGGGACTGACAAAACAAGGGCAGTCCCACTTGCTTGCTTTTTAGCTGCTCGCAGGAGCTGCAGGATAAGGGCAGAGTCCTTGGTTTCCTTCTTCCCAGGACCACTGTACCCATCCTTTCCATCAGGATTAAAATATTGATCAGTGAAGTGTATGAAATGTTACTGCTGCCACCTTCAGGCTGTGCTCAAGAGATGGGTTCCCTGTCCAACCACTCTGTGAGGATCAGCCACCTAGGAAGAGATTTTCTCACTCTGTTACTCCTAGGAACAGTCTGCTTTGAGCTAACGTGATTTAAGTTCCAAGCAAATGGGTGCTGAGCGCCTCAAAGCAAACCTGGGCACTTTTGCCACCATCAGCCACCCACCCTTGCACATCACTTCCCTTGTTTTCTGAGCCAGAGCAGCTATTCCTGCAGTTTCCATGGTAGGAAACACCAGAGCCCGTGTGTGGCACCATGCAGCCCTGTGAAAGTGCCCCTCAAGCCTTACATCAAGCTTTCCCAGCAGCTGATGGTATACCCCCCAGGCTGACACTCACTTGTGGGTGTGGGCAGCACACACCCAGCATATGGATTTGGAAACAAGCAGGAAAAGCAAGTGATGGAGTGTGGGGGAATGAGGGGGAGTCTGGGGGGGTCTCAGACCTGTGCCTGGGGCGGTGTGTGTCCCAGGGAGTGACAACGAGGGCGGTGTCTTGCACCAGTATGTTTGCAAATGCATGACTGAGAGTGCGTGGGCGTGGGCTCTTGTTTTTACTTATGGAGCAAATATCTCTAAAGCCATTAATGGTGCATTTCAACTGAATAACTTTTCTAAAAATGTAATTATGCAGCCTGAGGTATTTTTACAGTATGACTCAACAAGCTCGCCCCAAAACTGTATTTGCAAATGGCACTGGGATGAACCAGTGAATGGCGACCCCTTACTTACAGCTCAAATATCTCTCCAGTCTGGTGCTCTCTTGAAAAGGGGGATGCACACGAGGGGCAGGTTGGCCCTCTTACCTTGCTTAATCTTGCTGTGGGGCCAGAGGAGCAACTGTGGCCCTTTTTGTTGACCATTACAAGGTCATGATGTAGAGGCTGGGAGACAAGCTGCAGTCAAGGTCCTTCTCCAAGGCTGAAATGTATCTGTTATCTTCAGGACCATTTTCAGAGTTTTTTGCTGTTCATTTAGATCCATACGTTGGTATGTTTGAGAAGTGTATTGGAGAAATGAATTCTCAGGTTTGTGAAAGAGGATTGAAGATTTGGGTGTTGTTAATAATAACATGCCCTGCCATGAGTGGGTATCAAAAAAACGGAGATGAAGCTGCCTATAATAAGATTGGTGCTCAGCCCAAAATAAATCATAGCAACAGCGCTGTGCTCTTGAGCATGCCGTGCTTTTCTTTTGAGGGTCAGACAGACCTTGATGAAAGCTGAGTAAATATAAACGTTCCGAGGACATGGCAGGGAAAGTGAGGCAGGGAGAAGGCAGCACTGCTCAAGGGTAGCGTTTTGCAATAATGCACTCAGCCCAGACGTAAAGGCGATTTTCTTACAAGAAGTTGTGCTGTGCAATGAGTAGCAGTGAAATTGAAATTGGGGATGAGTGTCAGCTAGCTAGAAGTGCTCACCAATAAGATGATTGAGGGACAAGTTTTAAATGAGTGTATACAATCCTTTCCATGCTGTGTTCAGCACACAAAGCAGATGCTTTGCTTAAAACCTTTCCCCTACCCTCAAGCAACTGCAGGATGCTTGGCTGTACTGGGCTGTGGCAGCTTGGGGGGCACTGTGCAGCAGCCACAATGGGTTTGATGGGTTTGAAAGGCTCATCGTGCTTGGATGTGACTTGAGTTTCCCCATGCAATACATAGATAGAGCAGACCTTGCCCTTTCAGTGAGATATTTGACTCACAGAAAGTGATGGTAAGACCCCTGACTTGACCTTGTTATGGAAATACCAAGTATTTGTCATGCTCAATTGGAAAATCGGCTCTAGTCCAGCTCCCAGCTCATGGCCTTTGGTTGCTTCTTCCTACAGCTGCATTTGAATACTCCTTTGTCAGGACTAATTTCTAAAACAAAGTCTTTTCCCAGCGAGAGAGCAAGCCCATGTGTGCTCAGATGCTTTCCTTTGTATGGCTGTGAAAAACAATTTGATCTAGTGAGGGTAAAACCTTGAAGTTTGTGCTATAATTGGAGTTTGGGATTTTCGAAAAGAAAAAGGGAGATAAGAGACCAGTCAAAGCTGTCAGTGTCTCTTCCTCCTGTAGATATTTTTATTCATAACTGTTTGTATAATCTCTTTGCCCATAACAAGATGTTAATTAAATCACCACCAACTATTTTAAATAAATCAGGTCTTCTTTTTTTAACCCTTTCACACCTTTGGCAAAACTCTTAACTGTACTGCCATAGTTTGCACCTTATAAAAAATACCTGTATTTGAACTACGTGACTGTGTTTTTCCTCTGTCATTTCAATTGCCTGTTTGTCACTTGATTTCTGAAATCTGATTAAAAGTGAGGTGAAAGGGGAATACATTGGTGAATTTGCAAAAGGCAGAAGGAGCTTTGCATCCAGCTCTCCAGCCTGTGGAGGGCAAGACTGCGGGTGAAACCCAAGTTGGTTGGAGATGCCAGCTCAGCAGCCCAGAAGCACACAGCCCTCTTTCCCAGGACAGACAGTGCCTGCCTTTCCAGCCTCTCTTGCTGACATGCCCCTGGCTCCCAGCAGTACCTCTGTCACTTGGTGCTGCAGCCATTAATTCCTTGGTTGAATTGATGTGATGGCTGAGGAGGAGGAGGCAGTGATGGGCACTGATCCCTGACAAACCTGAATGACACCAACATTTCCAGCCACCTGACGTCTGCAGAGAAGTTTGGAGAATCCCTTGACCGGTTTGAGTGGTGTCATCTGAAGTCATAGGTCTTTTTGGTCCTGCTTTCCAGGATCCCACCCGAGTGGTCAGCCCTGTTATTGACATCATCAACTTGGACACTTTTGCTTATGTGGCGGCTTCCTCAGACCTCAGAGGAGGTAAGTCCCAGTGTCATGCATGCCCCGTGGGTGTCCAGCCGTGATGTGAACATGCACTGGCCTGAGGAGATGGTGGCTTTGCGCCACACCTCTGTCTCTTGCTACCTCACAAAAAAAGTGCATTAGCACTGTTCAGTGCTCCCCGCTGGCTGTTTCCAGGCTATTCTAGAGACAGGTGAGCATGGCATGAGGAATGGTGTTTGCTACAGTGGATAAGGCAGTCAGGCAGGAAAAAGGGTCATGTCAAAGCCACCCTGGGCAGCACTGAAAGTGACAGGAGGAGATGGGGGATGTCTAGGCAATAAATGAAGGATGCAACTGTAGCGCTTATTAGTATGCCTGTGCTATTTGTAGCATGCAGTATCCGTCAGAGTGTGTGTCTGTGTGCACAAGGGGACTAAGTAAGGTTTCAGCAGCAGCTTTAATTCTGACTTTTTCTGCCTTTGGAGTGCTTGACTTTGCAATTGTCATGCAATGTGTTGTTTCTTGTTCATACATAGTAGCAAAATATGTTAGTGATTGGACTCTTCTCCCAAGAGCTGCATCTCTGTGGCTAAAGTCATTTCAAAGTGGGGAAAATGCTTTGTCAAACACAGCTTCTGCATCCTGCATCACCTCCCAATTCATACCAATTTCTGATGTCCCCATGGCACTTCTCTACTCTGGTTTTAGGTTTTGACTGGAGTTTGCATTTCAAATGGGAGCAGCTTTCCCCGGAGCAGAAAGCCAAAAGACTTGATCCCACCGAACCCATTAAGTAAGTCAAGAAGAGGTAGGAGGCACCTGTGGGGCAGGACAGGCTTCTCCTCTGACCTGATGTGTGTCCCCATGCACAATAGCATGTGTTGCTTCTTCCAGGACACCTCTGAACTTCTAATGCCTATAGCAAGCTTCTGGCTAGCCTGGGTTTTGCAATACAGCTTCACCCCCAGCACTGAAGCCTGAGAGTGCCACAAAGGTAGAAGGGATATATTTATAGTTATTGGTGTTTTGGTAGTGGTTAGGGTTTGGTATTGTGGTTAGGGAAAAAGCCCAGTGCTGTGGACTACTGCTCCTTTCAGCTCAGCTGTCACTTAAAAATAAAGCCTTGGCCCACGATGTCTAGGCCAGCCTTTCCAGATCAGCGCTGCTCTTCTGAACCTCACTGAACCTCCTCAGAAATGGGGAGCGCAGGAGAGAGAGCAAAACTGAACAGGAGAGATGCCATCTGTCCTCATGCTGTGGGGTGGAGGGAGTTCTTCACTCTGCTGAAAATCTCTCCTGGCAGCAAGCCTGCTGCTGGTGTCTGCAGCCCCAGCCATGAAGCGCTGGGCTGTGAGGCGTGGAGGAGACTTGTGCCAGCAAACAGCGATTCTCCTCAAGCTATCTTCTGGGTCTGCCTTCCCCTCCTCCATGGACTTTCTCTGTGCAGTTTTCTTAGCTAATCCAAAGTCTGAAAAATAATCCTGTTTTGAAATAAAGATCACACAGCTAGTGATGGCTTTTAAAAAGCCTTTCTGAATTGGCTCTGCCTTCCTCTCCCTGGTGGAATGGTGCTCTTAATAGGCTGGCTCCAGGCAAAAAGCCGGTCTGAGTGAATAACCCCCCAAGTGCTAAGTGCATTTTGGATGCTGAAGCCTACAATCAGGGCTGTGAACTTTGGGTTTGTAGGAGTTGTACTAACTGGGTGCATTAGCCAGTCATTAAGTGCCAGGCAATTTCTGACTGACAGCAAAATACCAAGGCAGCTGAAAGTAAGGCTCAGATGCATTTTGAAGTACATTGTCCTCTTTTTTTTTTTGTGAGAAGAAAGTACATAGGTAATGTCCCAATGATGAAAAAGGAGGCAAAGGGAAGGGCTGCTTCTGTGCATCCAGGTGCTGAGGCAGTGTTTGAAAGTGTGTCTTCTCTTCCTTACCCATTCTGCAGGACACCCATCATTGCTGGAGGGCTTTTTGTGATCGACAAAGCCTGGTTCAACCACCTGGGGAAATATGACAGTGCCATGGACATCTGGGGTGGGGAGAACTTTGGTGAGTCGTTCTTCTTCCTTCTCTGCCTTGCTGTGTGGTTTCTCTTTCTGAGTCATGCCAGATGGATACAAGGTCATTTGGGACTTTGTTTTGAATGGTCTGGATGGTTTCCCTCACTGACATTAATAAGTTATGGTCTCAGTAATGTAAGGGATCCAACAACCATATTGTTGATGGGAATGATGGGAATTGAGCAATTGCTGAGACGCGGGACTGCCTGTCTTCCATGCTGCTTTGATGTTCTGTAGGTAAATACCCTATACCACAGAGTTTTCAGCTTTGGTGTTACCCTCATATTCTTTCTTCATCTTATTTTCACCTTAATAAAGCAAAGATGTGTCTCATTCCATTGCCAACAGCACTTCGAAGCTGTGAACTGAGGCATCAGTGCCTCCTTGAATCTGCAGAGTACTTGGAACAGTAGCTACCTCGGCATGCTGCAAATAGGTGGCAAAGTAACACGACTGCTTATCCATTCCTGTGTCACTGACTGGCTGAGTGCTGCCAGGCTCTCCATGACACTCACTTTTCCTGCACCAAAATAATGGGTTAAGAACTGACCTAAATTCAGTCACCTCTGCCCCTTGTCATGGGACAGGATGGACTTCAAGAAATCTCCTGCATGCAAACTTGAGAGGGCACATGACAGAGGTAACAGCCTGTCCCTTGTTCTCCTTGTCAGGTGGAGCTGGATCAGGTTGGGCTGTTCTCTCTTTGAAGCTGTAGCAATGCTGTGGATTAGAGCAATACACTGTATCCAGGAAAGAAGAGAGAGGCATTCGATGTCAGTGAGACAGATCAGAACCTGGCTTTAATAGCTTGCACCCCTGGGGAGTATGGCTAGCCAGCAAGGAAGGATCTTATGTCTTAACACATACAGCAGTGCTGTCAGTCATCCAAGGGAACAGATGCTGCCACCTTGCAGTAATCCATTCGCTGCCTGGCACTGTTGTTTGCTTCACATGCCTTATCCCCCTAGATGTATTTTATTTAGTTATATCTTGTTGTGCAGTAGGATCTCACTCACTCATGCTTTCTCTCTGTGGGTGGGTATCTTGCCACCAGACTGACCCAGAGTGTCTGAGTGGGGTGGCTCTAAGGAAACCAAAGAGAGGAGTGACAGCCCTCCTGCCTCCCCCGCTGGATCAATGGCCTAAACAAAGAAAGGAACTAGACAGGAAGAGAGGGGAAGAAGGACTGTCACGCTGTGTCTGACCTGCTGTCGCTGCTTGTCATTCGCCTCTGACAGCAGCCAGCCCGAGCTGCTCCTGGGAGATGAACAGTGACAGGACAGCCTGCTCTTGGGGGAAGCTCCATCCTGGCAGCTTGTCCAATGCCCTGTAATGGCAGGCATTGTACTCCTTACGTGTGGTTATGGCCTATCCTATAGAGCAGAGCACAAGGTTTCCCTCACTGGTGCTGTGCCCCAGAAGGCTGGTCCCAGCTGAACGTACACTGGCTGTGCTGCAGGGTGTGCCAGGACATTGGTGTGACAAAGGAAAGCCAGGCAGGTTAACTTTGTGACAAAAAAATGCAGGTCTGCATAGTAGCAGGGCAGATCCTCTCTTGCCCATCGCCCTGAGAGCAGCAGTGTGCCTGGCTCACAGCTGCATCTCCTGCAGGCACAGCAGTCAAGGGCAGTGTGTCCCATCTCTCCTTTGCACATAAGCAAGGGCAGCTGAGACCCTCCTGGGCCCAGTCAGTTCTGGGCAGGTGATGGAGAGCAGGAGCTGACCAAGCAGCTGCTCATTTTGGGTGCTTGCAGTGAACCATGCTTTTCCTGGTAGCTTAGTCCTGAGGGGATGCAGGACTCTGGTCCTGAGGAGCATCACTGCTGCTTTTAATGTTATTGACTGTGCAACTAGAGGGGGATGGAGACTTTAGGCAAAACAAAAATGAGTCTCTTTATGTTGGAAGAAGGACATTGTAGGTGTTTTGCTTCTTAAATGTACTTAATTCCCTCTAGATGAGTAATGGCAGAAAGGACTTGCAGGCCAGCAAGAAGTGCTAAAGGTATTTTGCCAAGTGAAGGCCAAGTCCAGTGCACCCCAATGCGTATTGCTCACATCCCTCCTGGGGGCCCCTTGGAGGGGCCACTTGCACTGGCAACATCTCTTGAGGGTCAAGTGATGCACACTGTCATTTCCTGCTCCCCTGACTCCTCTGAGTTGACCCTGTGCCATGCTTTAGCTGGTACCTCAGTTTACCTTCTCTTGAGGCACTTAGCTCTTGGCTGCCTGTCTGGATACCCTGTTTGTTAGCTGCCATGGATGGCTCCATGGTCATCCCTACTGGAGGAAACCTGTGCTTTAATTGTTTCTGCTGGGCCTAGAGCAGGGTCTGCAGGGTGCAACTAGTCTGAAGCAGGGGACTCAGAGTCCTCACCATCTCGTGCCTCCCCAGCACTATTGTGCCCTTATTCCAGATTGCAGTGCACAGAGATCACGTCTTCATTAGGCTTTACATTAAGACCAGGCGAGGACTGAGTGGTGTGGGTCTTTCCCTTGTAGCACTTCAGGGAGCTGCTCTTCTCCCACGCTGAGCAGGAGGACCAGAGGAGGGGAAGGCATGATGCAGTAGCCACGCTGTGGTCCAATCCACAGCTGCTTGTCTGGTTGTCCCCTTTTATCGGGCACCCTTCTAATTTACACGGCAGCACCGGCAGAGTGGCCGGCGCTGTGACACACGGACAAATGAGAGCAACAGCCACGTGCAAGGGGAACTGAGCACAGCAGCTTAGAGTGGCCATATCCCGCCATAATCTCATTTCCCTGCAGCTGTGATTAAGGTTGCTCCCAGTACAGCACCAGGACATGGCACAAAGGCACGTTTTATTGACCTGTTAATACCCAGCACTGGGGAAAGTGGTGAGGCTCCAGCTGCTGTTGCAGCTCTTGCATGTAAACACAGCAGTGAAGGGAAGGGCAGGGAATTTCTGGAAAGGAATACTCCTCCCTGCTGTGCTTTCCCACCGCTGCCATTGTTTGCCCCTGCTCCCAGGGCCAACTGTTAGGGATGGGATCAAGCCTTGAATTTTGGGCCCGCACACCAAGGCTTTGCAGCTGTGTCAGCCTCCCATTTGCATCAACTCAGGAGCAGGCGGGTGTGCTGGGAGTGGGATGGGAGCAACATTAACCTGGCTTCCACCTCTGCAGCAACGTGCAACTTGGGGCTGAGCCATGTGTGCTGAGGAGGCTTTGGAGGTCCAGACTCCAATTCGCCTTTGGTCCCTGAAACTGTGAGTTGTTTTTGGAGGGATGGCAGCTTTGTGGCCCAGCAGTGCCTGCCGTTGGAAGAGGAGGAGTCCTGTCCACACTGCCCAGTTGGCCTGCCTGCCACAGGTGCTTGTCTTGCCAGCATCCGACCTGGGGACAAGTCATCCTTGTGTTGGCATATGTGAGGGGACTGCTGGGAGCACAAGCTGGCAAAGACGATGGGTGTCCTCCTGTCTTAATTCTGTAGTTAAATGGAGGGGTGAAGATGAGTTATTAGTTTTGGAGTAGATACATGCTACCTATAGCTCTATACTGTCAACAGATGATAAAATAGGATTCAAAGAACCACAGAAGCCTTTTCATTTTAATTTCATTTCTTTTCCATGCTGGTTCCGTCTGAGCATGACTTCCTGACAATAGAGCTGCAGATTCATAGCTTCATAAACATTAGGACCAGATGGGCCCATTAGATCAGCCATTCTGTTCACCCGTCCTACCTCATCCAGCTCCCTGCCAAGAGCTCTGTAACTTCTGGTGTCAGTTGTGCCACAGGCTCATTTTCTTTGAGAAGGGCCCCATGGGCCAGCCAGTGAGTGGCTTGGAGTGACTGGGAGTCATTTCCCATACTGACAGCTTATCCAGACTTTTGAGATAATCCCTCCCGCCACTGACCTTTGCTTGTGTGAGGGTGTGTGCCATATTGTACCACAACCTTGGCACCGATGACCCATAGTGCCTGGGCAGGGTAAGCTCCAGTCTGCCTTGGGACAGGCAATGGATGCACAGCTCCCCGTTCAGTTTGCAGAATCAATGCTGGATTCATAAAGAAAATGACAGTTGTAGTCATTCATAAAGAGAACTCATAGCCTCTCGTGGTGAACTTGACAGCCCTTTGGAGGGAAGTGACTCTGAAATAGGCAGTGCAGAAGTAATTAGGGGAGCACAAAACTGGCAAGACGATTCTGCAATGTAAGTGGGGCTGCATGGAAAGGGACCTGCTTACTGTCTCATGCTTGCCATTGTGATAGCACCTGCTGTGCTAGAGGCAGGTTTCAAGTGCACTGACTTCAAACAGCTTGCAAGAAGCTTTGAAATGTGCTTTTAAGGCAGTTTTGCCTAGGAGAGCCCCTCTGGTAATTGATTTACCCCAGTTTAATGTGGCAGGGGATGAAGTGAGAGCTAACACTAGGATCCAGACTGCTCTAGGACAAAAAGACAAAATGCTGAAGCTGCTTCTCTTGTAGAAATCTCCTTCCGTGTGTGGATGTGTGGAGGGAGCCTCGAAATCATCCCCTGCAGCCGTGTTGGGCATGTCTTCCGGAAGAAACATCCATACGTCTTTCCAGAGGGAAATGCCAATACATACATTAAGTAAGTGGTTTGTACTTGCTCTTTTTTGTGAAACAGAATGAGGAGCTGCCTTGTAGGGAGGGGGGAGGAGAGAAGACAAGGAGGAAAGTTTGTTTAGAAAACTCTGAAATATCCTTGGGCAGGAATTTCCTGAGCCAAAGAACATGCATGTTAGTACAACTGTCCTGCAGGATTTCTACAGTGTTGAGACAATGACAAAAATAGGACATTTATATGGTATCTTCCATCAGCACATAAATGGAGGAATGGCCCCAGCACATCCCTGACCACTAGCTACTGGAACAGCAAATGGTTTAGACCTTGAGTCATCAGAACACGTTTATAATGACCTGCAATCAGGCTGCCAGCAATGTCTGTCAATGACCTTAGCTGCACGTTCAGCATGGCTCAGCTGAACCAGAAGTCTGGCTCCCAAAGTCTCTCCAAGAGGAGAGCGAAGCTCCTTGCTGGAGTGGGTGACTGGTGCTGTCTCTTGAGCAGAGGCAGCAATGGGGTGCACCTTGCTGGCATGTACACTGGAGGAACTGCCAGGGCATCCCAGCTGAAGAGGACCTCTCGTCAAACACAGGGACATAGGCTGAATCAGGTACTGAAATGGCTGGCTGAAATGGGCTAAGATCCTGAAAACATCAGGCAAAGAAGAAGGCAATCCAGAAGTGAGAATAGGCATGAGAAAATTGATGGTAGCAGCTAGCGAAGTCAGGAAGGATGTCCTCTGTTTTTAGACTGTGAGGCCAAACGTTGTTGCTTAAGTAAACGACAAACACCAGGGGTACTTATACTAAATGCAGGGTTGTTTCTCAGCTAACCTGCAGTTGTGAGTGCTTACACACCAGGCATTCCTTTTAGTGCAGGCTTCCCTGTGTTAGAAAGAGCCAACAGCACTTGTGAAGACCCAGGCTCTCTGCAGCTTCCCTGTCTTTTACATGAGACAACGAGCTGGGGGAGTGCAAATTACACTTCTCAGTTACACCTAATTCATGATTTCCAGCCATGCAGTGTGTGGGGCAGGAAGGGGACTTTGTCACCTGGCTTTGAATAGACGATGTTGAGGGGCACGGGGCATTGCTGGCATCAAGGAGGAGAGCAATAGTTTGAGAGTCATGAGGAGGGCTCTTGCTTTTAGTATTGAATTAAGATTCGTACAGAAGAGGCTGGGATGTGGCAAAATCTCTGCTGTCGATGTCGCTGCAAACCTGAGTGAAAAGGTAGTGTCTGCATTGCATCACCTGCAGGAGGAGCAAGGAGAGCTTGAATGGGTACAGCTCTTCTGGCTGCTTCTCAGGCACAGGCCTCTGGGGACCTAGGGGATGCCTGTATCACGAAGGTGTGAGCCTCATCATTTATCCCCGTGTTTCTTGTAAACCCAGATGAGATCAGGAAGCCAAACAAAAGAACCCTGCACTTTGGGGAAGGTTAGGTACAGATGTAGATGCTGATTCACTCATCTCTTGAGCAAGAGCACTTAAACTATTTCCTTAGAGAGAGGGGAAGAAGCCCGTGAATCATCAAGGATCTGAAAAGCAGTCTGGACAAATATACCTGTAGGCATCAGGAGGTTGGATGTTATTAACCCTATGATATCTATCAGCCTTAAACTTAATGTTATAGTATATAGACACAGAGGAGAAGCAGCTTCTGGCAACCTGATGCTATGTAGTACTTCTGTTTAAATAGAGATGTTAGCAAAAAATATCTCCACCCTTCTGCCAGATCCCGATTTTTTTTCCACGCAGCCCCTACTTCAGAGTGAGCTCGGGCTCCAGTGTAGTGCTGGCTTCACATGCTGACTGTCTCCTTTTCTGGCCTCCTGGGACTTGGCTGGATCCAGAGCCTGCCCACGGCACCTGCAGTTTAGTGATGTGGTAGCAACAGCTTAGAGGCACCGGCCTGCCTTGGAGCAGGAGATTGGAGGATTCCCCTGGCCTGGGCAGAGATAGGCAGATAGGCATGGAGCAACAGAGCCATTTGCAAGAAGAGTTAGAGCCATCTCAAGTCAACAGAAGACTTGCTGAGGTTCATAAACCTGCGGACACCTGGCTGATGTGAAAGACTGATATTTATGCACTGTGGTGGAGTGGTTCCTCTTAAGTTTTGAATGCTGAGGTTTGCCTCAGTGAAACCCAGGAGTGCAATGCAGGAGAGTCCAACCAGGATTGACTCAAAGGAAATATTTGCTAATCTTTGGCAAATTTTTCACCACTTTTCCGAGCTCCATCCAAGCCACTAAATAAAACACCAGGCACTCCTGCCTGGGAGATGATGCTTAAAAGAACCTTCAGTTCTGAGTATGGTGGATACAACGAATCCAGCTGAGTTTGAAATGGTGAATTCTTCACCCAAGCTTTATTTGACCTGATGAGTTTGGTCCCCGGAGTATTGAGGAGGAGGAGTACCTTCTCTAGTAGTAAGGAGTGGGCTGTCTCAAAGGTGGTTTGGGTGATGCCAAAGACCGAGTTGAGGGTAGGAGAAGAGCAGGGTGGATCAGTTAATGCATTTTGGAAAATGTTACCTTGGAGACTTCCTTGGTTTCATCTGTCTTTTGCTGTCTCCTTCAGAAACACCAAGCGCACCGCGGAGGTGTGGATGGATGAGTTCAAGCAGTATTACTACGCAGCTCGTCCCGCAGCCCAGGGGAGGCCTTATGGAAAGTAAGGGTCTTGCTCTGCCTGCGCCCTGCCTGTGCCCTTCCTGTGCCCTGCCTGCTGCAGTGGGGTGTTCACGGTGACGTCGCTCTGCTTCAGAAACCCGCCTGCGTTGTTTCTGTAGTAACGCTCAATTAAATGCTAATGGTAGGCAGATGCTACGAGCACAGCAATGAGACCTATAAACAGCCGGTTTATATTCTGTGCTGGTTTATCCCGGAGAGTGAACTGAACCCAGGTGGGGGAAAACCTTTGCTTATGTCCCACCCTTGGCATTAGGTACAAGTACTTCTGGTCCCAGAGTGGAGTTTGGCAGGAGTGTTCAGACATGTTGTTGGCAGCTGAGGAGAAGGAAAATCATCATTTTTTTGGCCTGCTAATGGTTTATTGGAAAGGAGCAAGTCCTTTGTATGCAGGGAGTTTGCCATTCATTCTGTGAACAGTCAGAAACGCCTCCCTGTCAGGAGGACTGTAAATATTTGTGTTATATTTCTCATTTTCATATGCTCCTCCTTGCCTTAGAAAGTTTCCTGTGGACCACAGGTGGTTCCAAACCCAAATTCCTTGTAGCTAATCTTCAATCTCCAGAATAAATAAATTGAAGTCCTGCTGACTAACCTGTTTTCACTGAATTAATATCCTACTCCCATCTCTTGGCACCAAATGAAATAGCATCTCTGTCCTGCTTTGTATAGGACGGTGTAGAGAAGTTACCCTATGCAAAAGGAAGGTACTGGAGGCTTCCAAGTACTCTGTGAATGCCAGCTCATAACAGCTCATAACAGCTCCACAGGCTTGCCTAGGGAGGAGCTGGAGTTTGGAAAATGTCACTGTACTGCCTGATCCCTCTGCAGAAATTTTGTCATGATTAATGAAAGAAAAAAGTATTTCACCGTGAGAACTTCTGCTGACTTAAAAATGTATTTAGGTGCTCTTGGAAATCAAGGCCTCCTGTAGTCCTGTAAACTAAGAGTAACTTAGAATAGTGAATAGCATATATTAATTTCCTTGTACATTAATATATTAAAGTAATGCTTATTGCATATAGTAGACAGCATACATTTTTTTACTAATAATTTTTAAATGACTGTACTTTTCCATTGATCTATTTATCCGCCCAACTTCAGACTCCTTGTTAAAATGGCAATATGTCGTCATGCCGTTTTACCAAGCGAGACCTCCAAAGAGATGGAGATCAAAATAACCGCTCAAGGTCATGCAGAAGAGAGCAGAAAATAGAGCTGCTGATGCTCTTGTGTTTGCTGTCTGTGCATATCTGTTGGGTTTCTATCAGCCTCCCTTTTTGGTGTGTTGGGTCTCGCTCTCTTCATTTCCATTGCATCTCTATGATATTTTCTTCCTACAGTGTCCAGAGCAGAGTGGAGCTGCGGAAGAAGTTGAAATGCCACAGCTTCAAGTGGTACCTGGAAAATGTTTATCCCGAACTTCGGTATGGATGTGCCATCTCCACCTGTCTCTAGCAGGCCAGTGGGATGCCCCATCCCTCCTGCCCCACAGAGCTTTCCTCTTCACCTCCAGTCCCCCCATATCCCCCTGCCCCAGAGACTCAGGCACCCCCTCCCTTGGGCTTCACAGAAGGGCAGAGTAAATTTTGTGCTGGCTTCAAACACAGTGTGCCATGCTGCAGGGCCAGGAGTTGGTCTTTGGATGTCCTTGTGGGTCCCTTCCAATTCAGGATATTCTATGATCCTATGATTTGTGATCCTGCTTTCTCTAAACAGTCTTACAGACCTTGCAGCTCTTCGCTGCGGGATTAATGAGGGACAAAACACCAGTTATTTCCATTTGCTCTTGGAGATTCATTAGGTGTCCTCCTGCCTGTGCTGTGGGACAGGTTGCATAGGGAAATAGCTGGTTTTCCTCTCAAAAGTATCCCAAGGCAGAAAATCCACCATAGCCTCTGCTGGGCTGTTTCAGTACTTAATGACTCTTGCTTACTAAAGAAGCACCTAATTTCCAGTCCTTTCACACTGTTCTGTGGTACTCAAGACTTCTCTGTTATGAAACCATCCACTCTAGGATTTTATGACTTGTATTCAGATGGCTCTGCCTTGCTTTGCCTAATGTCCACTTCCACAGTTGCTTTTGCACGGATATTTTTTAGTTACCAAAATTATTCTAGAAACCATTACATTCGTTCTCCCGGTCCCTATCAGGAGCCATCCTCAGAAAGGGTGGAAAAGTTCTGGAGATACTGCCAGGCACCCTGCTGGTGCAATGGCTGAGTGCAGAATCACTGTGTGAAAATGGTGATTTATAGCTGTTTTCTTGGTTTTTTTGCCGTGTGTGGCGTTGCACAGCAGCATTCACAGGGAACGCCAGGGCTCTGTGACAGTGTGTTATAAAGTTCCCCACTCTTGTAAGCTGAAGGCTGACCTTCAGCCTGCTCAAAGTCTATTCCTTGCTCCTCTGTTTGCCTTGTGCACTGTTATTTATTTTTTCCTCTTGTAAAGGTCAGCCATCCATCTCCGAGCGCTGCTTCTGCAGCGTCCCTGTCCGTGTACTGCTCTCAGTGGTTCCGTGTTGTAATAGATCTTGCCACTCCCATTTTCTGAAGGTGAAATGGTGTGACCTTACCCCGCTGAGCCTCCTTTGAGTACTCCGTGGGCCTGGGGGAGTATGGATGTTGTTTAAATGCTGTTCCCACAGGATTCCCGAGGAGTCGCTCTATCAGACTGGGATGATAAGGCAAAGACAGAGCTGCCTGGAGTCACACAAGTCTGAAGACCAAGAGCTCCCCATCCTGAGCTTAAATCCTTGTAACAGCAGCAAGGGCGCAGTAGCAAAGGCACAGGTAAGATGTGTTCTGTATCCTCATGATGCTGGATGGAGAGAAGCCTCTGGGTCAGCTTCAAGATAATTTCTTAAGTTTGCTAAAGTTCTGTTGGAGGATTTACCTGTTCGGACTGACCCTTTCCTTAGATAGCACATAGTTAAACCCTGGTAACTCCACGTGACTTAGGTGGAAGCCCTGGGCAGCAGCAGGGATTGGTGCAGGAGCCACAGTGCAGTGTGGACCACTCATCTCTGTGCCAGCGTGTGCTGACCGCTTACTGCCAGGAACACCACGCGCTGCTCGTCTGCACAGCTCAAAGACAAAGAGAACTATAATTTCCTCTCATCTTTCAGCCTTTTCTCTTTCAAAATGCACTGAATCGCAATGGTATTTATAACTTCATAGTCTGCATTCTCTCAGTATTAGATTGCCCATTAAACTAGTGGGAATTTAATGAGGATGATCTCGGTTTTTTCAGTCTCACTGAGATGAGAAAAAGCTGTATGAATTGATGTTCTCAAAAGCATAGTCCAGGAAACATCAGAGCCAAGCGTAGGCTCATGTGCCTTGTTGCAGCAGAGTTTCTGGAGCAAGACCCTGAAGACACGAGTACAAAACCTGCCTTTCCTTCAGCCTCCCTTTGTGATTTTGGGCATGTCAGTAAGTTCTCTCACTGCTCCCATCTATAAAACAGGGAAGATAACAATCACTTGCTTCTCCACTGTTGCTATGAAATAGTTTAATAGGCAATGGTGTGCTTGCTTCCACTTGACTGTACATTCTTAATCCTGGTGGTTACACATTCAAGCCAGGTAGCTGTGCATATAAAAGGCCCAGCCTGGGGAGACTGATTTGTATGTGCAAACGAAGCTTGTCATTATGTGCATCTCTTTCAAATGCAGTTGCATGCCTGTCTTTAGGCAGGAAAATAATATCTCTTTCACAGCATGGTAAAATCAACAATGATTACTCGAATATTAGTCAGTTCAGAAAATATAATGAATATAATTGTGAGTGTTGCACAGTTACACTTCTTATGGTTTCACTGGTTTCCAGGTTCTAGGATTGTTTTTCTTCCTTCCTCTGCTACATGGACTTTTCACACAAACAGCAAGAAAAGCAAGCTAATGAGAGCAGGTCATCATGTTTTGCAGGGCCAGCTCTGCAAAAGAAAAGACAAATGTTTCAGTGACAATTGCAACTTTCAATGAATTGGATGTTTTTTAAAAAAATCTGGGAAAATCAGAATGAAAAATGCTGCTGCAAGCTAGCGTTTCAAAATGAAATGGTATTGGTCTTTCTGAAATATCAGTTTGATGTGGTATTTTAAAATGAGAAATGTCATGCCAACAAGTTGGATTGTTTCATTCCCAGCAAACACATTTTGTTTTGACATTTCTATGCGGTAAATTTTTGGAATTTTTCATGGCACAAACTTTTCAGCTTCCCATTCTGATTCTGCAGCAGTTTGCAATAGGTCAACACTTCCCACTGGATGGCAGCTCCATTTCTTGTGCACATCCAGGACTAACTCTGCAAGGGAACAGAAAAATACACTACAAACAGATTGCAGAATGCCTATACTCAGAACACAACAGGAACAGAGAAAAACCTTTTCCTTTTATCTTTCTGTCTTTCTAGGATAGTTCTCTGTTACTTGTACCCACAGAGACTATTTCAGATTAAAGCATGATATTTAAACTTTCATTGTGAATAGAAACATATTTTAATGACACAATTGTTACAAGACCACCTGAACTTGTGGATGACATGAGTGTTATAGTCACCAGGCTGTATAGGATCGATTATGCAGCAGTCCTGAATGCTACTTAGTTTTGCATTTGATATACCATAATAGAGCAATAATCTTCACTTTTAACATACTGAAGTCACATCTTGTTTGCCCTAAGCTTCATTATTTGAAAAATAGGTTTACTTGAATCAAAGTTGTGCTTTCCTGGCATTCAGTAAGTACCATGGAAATATCCTGGCCATCCAAATTCTTTATTATCACTATTACAGGAGCAGTAATTTAGTTGCTTTGATTGCCTTTCTGTATCTGTCTCATTGCTAGGCTCCCCCAGCCCTTTAGCAATATTACATGCGTGAAGTCCTGGGACTGGGTGTGAGAAGATCTGAGCTATCACACATTATGATCGTTTAAAGAGAGAGGCAAAGGAGCTGTGAGATGGCAATTTTAGTTCTTTCTATCTGTAGTGCAGGGGAAGGATGTTGTGAGACCTCTGGCTACATCCATAGTGTGGATATATTGAGATGAATACTCTGTGGTGAAATCAGATTTACACCCTTAGCAGATCTCACAGACCCTCCCTGGTGGTGTCCAGTGTTGGCCTTGAATTACTAAAAAGGGCACTGAGGCACAAAAAGACCCCTCATCTTTGTGTAGGAGAGCTCTGTTCTCTCATCCCGGGGATCCATTTGGCCCTTTCTGTTCCAAAAGGTCTGGCAGTGGTCAAAGTAGGCTCTGTCCCTCGAAATGGCTCTCAGAGGGCTCTTGAGTTATTGACTGGCAGAGATCTTTGTGCAGTGCTCATCCCCAGGGCACAGCGGGCTCTGCCTGCACTCCTGCCCACTGGAGCCCTTGTACTCTATGCTTTGTTGCATCTCATTTGCTAAATGAGGAGATTGATTTAGTTTTTCACAAGAGAAATGCATCTGAGGGAAAATAATTGATCATAATTTTGTCCTCATCTATCTAATGAAGATGTGAGCAGTTGGGGGTTTTTTCCAAGTCAAGTGTCAGTTGATATTAGTTCATAGAGTTTGGAACAGACATCTGACTCTGGGATTTATTTAAATCATTAACAGCTTCAGGAAACCTGACATACTTCAGATAAAAAAAGCAGAAGGTGCTTTGACCTGGATACTCACACACATGTAAGCAGTCGCTGCAAGATGAATGTAAAGTTCAGGCATCTTCTAGACAAGCAAGGAAACAGTAAGAAGGCTATGGCATCCATTTCCTGGGCCTGCACCCCAAAATATCTGGTTTTTGGAGCTGAGTGGGTGCCATTGCATTTGAGTGGCATGTCCTTGACTCTTCCTGTGAAGGAAATACAATCTGATAATCTGCCTGATACAGCTTTGATGCTCACCCCAGTTCACTTGAGGTCCTCTGTTTGCTGACTTAATCTGCATTTTGCAGAACATTTAGCATCTATCCAAACTGTGTGCCTCCTGGGACAACTCAACCATAAACATTCTCTTCTGACCTTCCTCTCCTCAAAAGCCTTTGTTCTTCTTCATGGACACGTCCTGCCCCAGCTGCAGGTTGGCTGTAGCTGCAGGAGGCAGGCTGAGCTAGCAGAGCAGAGGGGTAGCAGTGGCACCTCTGCACCCAGCTTGTCATGGGCATCTTGTGTACTTCACTTTCCCTCTCCTGAGATGTGTGTAAGTGCCAGTTGCATCCCAGGGTCTTTTGATGAGGGGAGCACTTTGGTATTCTTAGGTGACCCACGCAGTCACGTGCCTTGGGAAGTCCTTCCCTCTGATTTTAAAAAGATAATTGGGGGATTAGATTGTTCCCAGCTTCTTCAGAAACATTTTTCTCTAGCTACTACCCTGGCTTTAGGGTACAGCTGACCTCTTACTCAGTAGCAGAGGCCTCTCTGTCACATAATGCCGGGTTCCCATGGGACTGCTCCTCCCTAAGCTGAGGGGCTCCTTCCTCCATCTGTCAGCCAGGCTATGCCAAGCCGAAGGTCACATTTTAAAATAATTTCCTCAATTCATAATCATGCTGAGTAACAGTGACAGGTGCCTGCTCAAATGATGCTAAAGCCTTGAAAAATAGTCACAAGCCTCAGATGGGGGGTGTAGTGTTATCTGAGGCTTTGGAGGAAGGGGATTGCTGGTTGTGGTATGCAGCTGGTAGCTCTGTTCTCCAAGCCCACCCTCTTCCTCCTTACTCCACCACCACTTGTGTTTGTCTTTGAAAAGGCAGGAAATCTTGATCTCAATTTCGCCTCATATATCTGTTTTTCATTGGTGCTGGGATCATATCTAAGCCCTGATGGCATTTCTTCAGGCCAGTCTGCAGCCCTGAAGCCATGCTAGCTCCTTGAAGATCTCCTTAGGAGTACCATGGACTGCACTGTCCACCACAACCTCCATGGTGTGAAGCTCTGCTGTTGTTACTGCTGTGCTGGCCATGTCAGTGCTAGGGGTGCCAGGGTTTAGGAGATAAAGTAGTTTCTAATGGGAAAGAAGAAAAAGGCAGAAATTTTAATCCCAACTGCTACGAATAAGGAAAGATATGAGGTAAGATAAAAATTTACATGGCCATTTGCATGCATTTGAACTCAAAGCCCTTCATGGATTCTGTGGTGTTCAACTGATTCCCCCTCTACCCCCTCCCAAATTTCTTCATTTTCTGCATCATTTTCTCTGGCTTTCATCTAGGGCTGAAAGGGGACAAGACATGATTAAAGCTGGATAAAACATTTTCAACAGGACTGGCTTTCATAAAGAGCCATTCTGCCAAAATAGATGAGCTGTGTGAATATCTGTCAGTTGAGATAAAGACAGTAGAAGGACAGCCTGGGGGCAAGAGGGTAGGATCCGATGTCAGCTGTCGAACTGATGCATACATCTAGCTCTGGACTCCTCACTTCTTATGATGAACAAAGCTTAGGAAAGATGGTTTCCACCACCCTTTCTATCCCATGGACCATTGCTGAATGAGAGAATGGTCCTGCCTTGAGAGGATGTGAATATTGGGAAGGCTTGAACAGAGCCTGGCCTGGAAAAAAAGCATGGAGGACCTTTGTGAGGAGCAGTCCTCCATGAGGTACCTCAGTGAAGCAAGGAGGCTAAGACATCAAAGGAAAAAAAAAAAAAGTCCCATGGCCTGAGTTAGTTGGGGGATCCAACATATACACAAGTCCAGGATTAACTATCTGCTGCTGAGGAGCCTCGTGGGCGCAGCTCCAGCCCTGTCCTGAGCTAAAATGACTAACAACTGGTTAAAAATGGAAAGCAGGTTTTCAAAGCAGCTTGTAGTAGCGTGGGCACCAAGAACAGATGTTGGAGCTTGCCCCGTAGGGTTTGGTTTTTCACAGATGCAGGAGTAATTTGGCACCTGATTTCCCAGGCTGGTGGTTTACACAGCAGCTGACAGCGTGCATGGT